AATTATATATCTGACTTGTGCGAGAAAATATCACACTTATTTCATTTGATTTGATGTCTTTTGTTTCTTTGCTTCTGATATATCAAATTTGAATTGCTTAAAAAATTGGCTAAGGTTGGTGAATTTGCAATATTGTACCATATGATGCTCTTGCCTGTCATAAATATGAAATAAAACTCATATCCACTTGTTAAAGCTTGTTTTTAGCTACAGACAGGGGCTAATTCAGCTGGTGAGCGCAGGGAGTTTGCAATAACCCCCTCACCCCCTCGAGATTTAGTATGCTTCCTTTTATTTGTGYCTCCTTTGTCATGGTTTCTTGGAGAGCTCCCTGGCTGAGTGCCCTRSACCMCTCCYTGGAAATAATGTAATCTTCACACAGTGCTTTACTACATGTAACATCGAGTACAACAAATCTGCACCATTTCTTTTGATTTCATGTATTGTTATATGATCTTCTTATCTTATAAAACAGGTGGGGAAGGGGGCTATAGCTCCCCAATGTATTGCTCAGAAAACAACGAAATTTTGAAATAGTATTAACGTTTTTTAAATGGAATCCGCTATTTTTCAAATGCTATCGAACTCGACTCATGCTCCTCAGTCCCTGATTATTATACTTTATGTTTTATCAAAACGCCACAAATACGCGCGTCGCCCCCTAGACGTTTGATTGCTACAAACTAGATCTTTTAGCTATGTTATTGCAGATCGATAAAGTTCTTTTTAATTTTTTTGTATTGTTGTTGTTGCATACTTTATTACATTTTCAATTTCTTTATTACGCTCGCAAATAACGATGAACCGAAAATATAGAAAAACTAGACGCTCAGAGAGCGCTTACATGGGCTTCCTGAAGCAATTTCCAATTGAGATGCATTTTCATGGAGAAAATAAAGTCTGGAGCCTATCTATTTTCATCAATATTTGATTTATTACTTTTCCATGCAACCATTAATGAAGGTTTGTTTTCTATGAGCAATGTTATTATTTATTTGAGTACTAAAAATCTGTGTTTCAGGAACAATTCAGATTTAGAGAAGTTGCATTGTAAGTCACGTCTTTCAATTGCAAAATAAATGTATTTGTTGTCCTATAAATATTGCAGGTTGTAATGATCAAATAACTAGACGATCGAATCGATCGTGACGTCGGGATACGATCATGTTTAACACTTATGTAGGCCCTAAGTGATACATGTATACTCACAGCAAGCCGGTAGCTTTTTCGTAGAGCAGAGTCACATGAACCATGAAATAAGAACTAAAAAGTACTAACTAATAGGGACTATTAGTTCCTAATAGTCGTTAGCACTGAACCAGAACAGTTTACTTTATCCAATAAGCAATACCCAAGGGACCACTTTAACAATCAAAGTAATCTTTTTGTACTGTTCTGGTTCAGTGATAGTGTCTAAATAGTGCCTACTAGTATTAGTAACTAAGTATTTCGTTTCTATTTCATGGTTCAAGTGACTCT